TAGACCTTCAAACAGTTTACAAAGGCATAGTTATACCCTTGATTTCCCAAATGCTAGAAAATTCATAGAAAAATAGAATCTTGATGCACTATCACCATTTTTACTTCAGCATTAAAAGGCAGGTCCTTCTACAGGTAAGCAACAATTTCGAAAACTTTATATACACTCCATTTCATTTTACAGTGTTTTCACATACGTTGGTGAGCAGAAACAACTTTCCTGATTACATATAATCAATGACCAAGAGTTAAGCAAAGAGATAAGTGATCAATTTAGTCTGACTTCTATATAACCTATATTTCTGTACCCTCAATGACTAAGAAAACAACTCTTCTAAATTTTTTTACATTTATTTAATTTGTGTGTGTGTGTGTGTGTGTGTGTGTGTGTGTGTGTGTGTGTGTGTGTGTTGGTCAAAGGACAACTTGAAGAAGTCAGTTTTCTTCTACCACATAGGTTCTATGGGTTGAACCTGGTCAAAGGGACTGAACTCAGGTCATCAGGCTTGGCAGCAAGTGCCCTTATCTGTTGAGCCATTTCACTGGTCCAGAAAATAACTTTTAAAAAAACTCGTGTGGTCTATTAACTTTAAGATAAGAGTTAAAATCCAAAGCTGTGAGATAGTCTAAAAGTTACTAAGATAAATGCTACTGCATATAAAGGGTTAAATCCAGATAAACACTGACAGGAAAACCACTGACATGGTAACTTGGCAGATATGGTTTCAGTTGGAGCACTGAACACATTTTCATACTAACCCTGAACACACGACTTAGTTCTTAATGTCCTTCTATCTTATATTTTCAGTTAAACTGAAAAAAAAAGTCAAGGAGAGTTTTAAATTTATTTTTCAAACAGCAAACGAAGCACTTCACACTTACAGCATCAACTGAGGAAAACACCGAGTTTACCACTTGTTGTCTTTTGTTTACATACTTGCTCGTGGTCCTGCCCAGCTTCCCTGATGCAGGCCACACACACACCTAGGCCCTGCCGTACGCCAGTTACACCAACTGGCTGGCTTTCCTGGCAATCAGCAGACACCCTCACCAACATGTCCTCTGCATGTCTGTCATTCTGCCTCAGTTTTCATTCTTTCAGGGAATATTTACTGCAGCTGAACACGCAGCAGAGATGGGGCCGGCACTGGGCCTCAAATGCATTCCTGCCTCGCCCGTCTTTCAGTTTTACTTTTCCTTCAGATCTCAACTCAAGCATCTCTTCCTCAGGGAAAGTCTTTCAAATCTCCTGGCCACATCAACTCCACATTTTATATTTATATACTTATTTACTCATGTAGGGGCTAGAGATGCAGCTCAGTAGTAAGAATGTTTGCCTAGTGTGTCTGAGGCTGTGGGTTCAATCCCCAGGACTGCCAAATAAATAACACTTATTCATTCATACAACAAATATACTGAGCACTGAAAGTGTTTTACATGCAGTCTGTTCTTGCTACTGAAGACAGTGATAGGGGAAAGAAGCTTTTGCTCCCATGGTGCTTACAGTCTAGTGGGAAAATAAAATAATTAAAAAAAATTATTACATTTTGTGTGTGTGGGCACGCATGTGTGCATGTGCCTCTGAACCTTTTCACCAGCTCAGAAAATAATGTTTTTTAAAAAGCAAACAATGACCTGTTGTGGCAGTATGCCCCTGTAATCCCAGCAGTTGAGAGGTAGAAGCAGGAGGATCAGGAGTTCAAAGCTAGCCTTGACCATACTGTGAGTCTGAGTTCAAGGCCAGTCTGGGCTACATGAGATTCTAGCTCAAAAATAAAAAAATAAATAAATAAGCCAACAATGAATCTGCACCTATGTTATGGCTGCTGAGTCACCTGCAACCTCCCCTACCTAAGCATTTTAGCTTTCTCAACTGCTTTTTGTTCCCTGAACAAGACACCTGTTCCATGAATCTTGTCTTTCTCAGTAAAATCTCTTTGACGATGAGGTCTGTTTTATTCATCTATGTAGCCTCGGGATTTTTGTAGTGGCTGGCATATTGTAGGTGCTCAGTAAACATTTAACAAAAGAATGAGAAAATGAGATTGGATATTGTTCGGTAAGCATGAATGATGAAAGAAAAAAATTAAAGATTTAAAAACCAATGTCCAGTGATGAACACAAGGTAAGGGAGGGAAGTGATGGGAATGCAAGTGGCCTGGCATCTCTGGAGGTGACGCCTGGGCAGAGATTCAATGGAAGTAGCAGGAAGCCACATATTCTCACACAAATATGTGTAAGACACACAAAAAAAATTGTCAGGCAGAAAAAAACTTTAAAAATGTATCATTTTATGTGTCTGAGAGCTTTGCATGCATTGACAGACGTGCACCTGCACATGTAATGCCTGAGGAGGCCAGAAGAGGGCGTCGGAGCCCCTGAACTGGAGTTACAGCTGCGATCTGCCATGTGGGTGCTGGGAACTAAATCCAGGTCCTCTGGAAGAGCAGCTAGTGCTCTTAATCACTGAGACATCTCTCCAGCCCCAGGGGAAAAAAAAAAAAAAAAATCTTAGCATGTTTACAGTAATCTTCACAAGAGGTAAGCCTTGGGACCTTAATAGTGTCTGAGGATAGCTCCGCTCTGTAACACAGAATTTATATTCTTATAAAAAAATCTAAATTCTTTGAGAACACACTTAAGTTAAAGGGAAGCTGAATGTGGTGGCATATGCCTGTAATCCCAGTACAAGGAAGGCTGAGGCAGTGGATTGTGGGTTCCAGGTCAGCCCGGACTACAAAATGTCTCAAAAAAGCAAAGATGCAAAGTTAATTTAAAAATGACTTAAAAAAAAAAAAAAATCAAGGAACTAGGGGCTGGGGAGATGGCTCAGCAGTTATGAGCAGTTACAGCTCTTCTAGAGGATCCAATGCCTCTGTGTACATTACACACACGGTGCACTTACATACATGCAGGCAAAACATTCATACACGTTAAAAAAAAATATCAAGGAACTAAAAAAATAAGGATCCAGTATCAAGATACTTTTTTTTTTTTTGGTCTTTTTGAGACAGTCTCCCTGCAGCCCCAGCTGGCCTGGAACTCACAGAGATCTGCCTGCCTCTGCCTTCTGAGTGCTGGGATTAAAGACATGCACCACCACGCCTAGATTCAAGATACATCTTTAAAATATAAATTGTTTTATTACAATTACTATGTTAATACTATAAGAAAATTACCATTTAAAAATATTTATTTTATTATATGTGTGTATATGTGTATGAGTATGTATGGGGTGCCTATGGAGGCCAGAAGGGGGGTGATGTATCCCTCTAAATTGGAATTACAAGAGTTGGTGAGTTGCCTGATATGGGTGCTGGGATTTAACCTATGGTCTTCTGATAAGAGCAGTAAGCACTCTTAACCACTGAGCCATTTCCTCAGCCCCCAAAATTATGGATGTGTTTGTTTATCTCTTTCTAATGATCTTGTATAAGGAAAAAAGCAAGCCCTGTGGAACTGTTTGAGGGAAATCAAGGTATCTTAGGATAATATTTCCATTCATTCAATATTCAGTGGATAGTTTTATATAAACTGTGTCATAAGTGACATCAATTCATACAGTAATTGAATGATGCAACATTTGGAAGACAAAACTTAAGGAGTGTGGTTTTTACTCCCAAAAGCCTCTATCTAGCCCAGGGATGGAACAGCCCAATTACCTAGCACAATTCTCTTGAGACAGGGTGCTGGCTCTGTGATTACAAAGAAATAGGAGATAGGGTCATGTTCCCTAGCCTAGAAGTTAGCATAAAATACAATACATCACAAGGAGACAGGCAAATGATTGAAGAAATATGTAATCATCTCTATAGCAACACTCAACATAAAGACAATAGTCAACAGGAAGAAATATCTTGATAAACAATCATAAAACTCCACTGAAATAAGAAAAGCAAAATTCTACTGCAGACATTTTCACTAGGTTAATATTACTGAGATTTGGAGGAGGAAGTTACAAAGCTGTTTTCTTTTTAAAAGACCCCCTCATTAATGACCCTGAAGAGATGGGGAAGAACAGGGACAGAAGCAACATCCTAAAAACGGCCGCATTTCACAGTAACTTCTTTTCACGTAAAAATTTAAAAGGGTCTGTTAGAGCTCATAAAGAGATCTGAAAGGATCCTAGTTGCTCAAATGACAAGGTTTTATATGGGAAACAAAATGCTTTCTTTCAGGCACTGAGAATAAACAATACGCAGGAAAAATGTGAACCTGGGCGAAGCTGAACCAAAGCCGCCCTTACAAGGGAAAAACCAAACAAAACAGAAAAAAAAAAAAAAAAAACCCAAACAAACCAAAAACCACTGCTATTCAATTGTCTACTTTCTGATAGCCTGCCCCTTCTACCAAGCAGGTCAAGAAATCACTGTAATTCATTGTTCAGGACACAGAAAACTTAGCTTCCAACCACAGTGACAAGACTACCGAATATTTGCAAAACATTTCCTCTCTCCAAAGAAAATACACCAATAAACAAGCAAGCTTTCACTAAGGTGTATTATCTTTTTTTAAAATAAAAACTTTTACATCTGAAAAAGTATCAACGTGCAATTGTGAAGAAAGAAACCAGGGGCGATCTGGGGTCGCATCTGGGCTCTACCGCATTGTAGGAACACCCAGCATCAAGATGCAGCCCATTTAGGAGCGTTAGGCTGGAGCGCCGTCCCGGGAGCCACAGCGACGCCAGGTTTCGGAGAACCTTGCCGGGGTGCTACCGAGGACCGCGCAGGTGCGGCTGGGTGGCAAACGGCACTGATTTTCCATGGCTGGCATCCCTGGCGGCATCGGCGAGGTCCCATCTCTCCCGGGTGCAAACTCCTTCAGATGGAGCGGCTGGCCGGAGTGGCCCACGCCACAGTGCCCGCCAGTCCCCGGGTCCCGAGGCAGAGGTTCCACCGGCTGAGCCGGGCCGCGCGGCGTCTCCGGGGCTGCCGGTGGCTCTCCCAGCGCGGGGTCCGCGCCGCCGCGTCCCGCCCGGTCCCCGTGCCCCAGGCCCACCTTTGATGCCCGCCATGGCGGTGACGTCGCGCAGTCTCCACTACCCGAGCGGCAGCGGCCGGGAGACCCAAAACGCGCAGAGGCCAGACAACACCCGGAAGTGCGCGATGCAGCACTTCCGCCCGCGGCTCGCGCTCGCGCAGGGACGTGGGGGCGCGGCCGGGCCGTCGTGGGCTTTCTTCCATGGTTCCCTGCACGGCGGGCGTAGGCCGGATGGTGCTGCGGTGGCGCGGCGTCTGGACGGGCATCCTGTGCCGGAGCCCGCGTCCCTCGTCCGGGGTTCGCCGTCCCCGAGGGTCCCCCGGAGACGCGGGCGGCCACTTCTGGTTCCTTCCACCAGCCAGTCGAGTGGACCAGGCGAAGATCCGCTGGTCGCGGGGTCTGTGCTTCTCCAGAGATGGGAGCAACGGGCCCAGCAAAGGATGTAATACAAGGTGTAATAAAAGTGCATCTTCTTGGTGATGAAAGGGATAGGAAAAAAGAAAGAAAGCAGAGATCCGATTTATGTCACCACCCTACAATTACCAGTATCCGTTGGGAAGCCGGGCCAGCGTTGGGATGAAAAAGCCGGATGCAGTTTCTGCCTCGAATTATTCGCAGACTAGAAGGGAAGAGCTACACAAAAGAGACCAAAATGCAATGATAATTGCTAGTAAGAAGGATCTCCACTCCAAAACAAACCCTTTTATCATAAAGATTACTTTGAGCTGAAGGCAATTAAAACACTACAAATGGAGGCTTCTCTGCTCTCTCCTTTTCTGCCCAAAAGCAGAGCGTAGATTTTTCCCTTGTAAAGGTAATTACAAGCTTCGGTATTTATATAAAAAGAAATTTGTAACTTTAATTTTCATTTCCTTGACAGAGACAGCTGTCTCTGCAAGAGACATCAATGAATCGAAGTCGGCAGAAACATTACTAAAATAACCCTTGCTTTCTGTCAATTTCCTCTTATATTTCTCTGTCCCTAAAAGCCCCAACACTATCAAGTCACTTTTCCACAATGTATTGCCACTTGTTAAAAATGATGTATGCTCTCACATTTAATACCTTCTTGGGTTTTCCCTTATTTCCTTTGGAGCCTTGCTATACCCACACAGTACACCTTTGCCCCTATGAATCTGTTTCATGGCCGCTTGATACACGTCTCAACTGTTGAATCTAAAAAGGTAAAAGAAAACTTTATCCTAGGGATAACTAGGAACTAGCTGGGGAAAATGGTAAATAGTCCCTTTAGGGCCTTTGGTTTGGCTATGCCAGATTTGTTAATGGAGATTCATGGTTCATTAACTTGTGTAGAGAGGTGGGCTTTGGTGACAGAACTAGGAGCTTGGAATGTTGGAGAGAGGAGAGAGGCCAATGGATTGCTCAGGGTTGATGTGGGCCCTAGTCAGGAAGCTCTAGTTTGTTTTTTTTAAATGTACATGTGCCTGCCTGTATGTATGTGTACTACCTGTGTGCCTGGTGTCCCTGGAGGCCAAAAAGGGAGTCAGGTCCCTTGGAACTGGAATTACAGGTGGTTGTAAACTGCCAAGTGGGTGCTAGGAGCTAAATCTGGGTCCTCTGTAAGAGCAGCAAGTACTTTTAATCAGTAAGCCATTGCTTAATGTCTCGCCACCAGGGCTCCACTCTTGTAAACAGATTAATGTTCATTATAAATAGGCTTGAGGCTATGATTCTTTCTCTTGCTCTTTCTCCATGTTATGTTGCAGCAAGAAAGTTGTCACCAAATGCGGCCTTCACTATAGATTTCCCAGCCTCCAAGAACTAGAAGAAAGAAATCTGTTCTTTATAAATTATCCTGTCTGCAATACAAAATTAGTAAGATGTCGAGAGCTCTTAAGTTACTCTATCCTATATGAGAGATGTCACATCACCACGGTGCTTCTACAAAGACAGCCTGATCCCTTATTGTTGATTAGAACCAGGAGTGAGCCCCATATGTTATGAGAAGTTTTTCCTTCTGAACTCTGTTAGAATTGTTCCCCTGAACAGAGGTCTTGCTCTCTCTTTATTGAAACAGTACATCCAGCATGAAACAGAAAAGGAAAAGCAAAACTTGTCTTCTTATCAGAGGAGTTCCCTTTCTGACCCAGAAGAGCACACACACCACAAACATGTTATCTGATCCTATTAGTTTTTTGGTTTTAAAATATTTTTATTTTTTGTGTATGAGTGTATTTCCTGCATGTGTGTAAGTGCACCCATATCATTCAGTGTTTGTGGAGGTCAGAAGAGGGTATTGGATTCCCTGGAACTGGTGTTACAAACAGTTGTTAACCACCAGGTGGGTGCTGGGAATTGAACCTGCATCCTCTGGAAGTGCTCTTAACTGCTGAGCCATCTCTCCAGCCCCCTCACCATTAGTTTTTTGTAATATAAACAGTGGCTAATTCATTGCTTCCAATGATAGTGCTGCTTTCAGTGCTTGATATTTTCATACCACACACACACACACACACACACACACACACACACACATTATTCTGGGTCAGGGGCAAGGAAGGGTCATGAGGGACTAAAGTTATCTGCTTAGTTTACAAGAGGAGGCCAAAGCCCAGTAAGCTTTTTAGATCATAAATAAACTAACAGTGTTATATGATCTCAAAATACAAGATTAATGTTAGTTACAAGGTTATAAGATTCCCATTTGTCATTCCCAGAAAAGTCATTCCCATACCACCCATCTGGTACAGACAGATGGATGAATTATTCCTGGGAATAAAAAGGGAGCTACCTTATAAGTTTATTGAGAAGAATTGAAACTGGGAGCACATGGGTGCATTAACATCATCTCAGGGAAAACAGGCCCAAGAACTTATCAGACACACTACATTGAGGCAAGGGAGGAAGTCCCTTCCCTGGACTCCATAAGATGATGGCCATCTAACATTGTGAAAGCATGGCCCCATATCAATCCATCATTTGATACCTGCAATGTGCATCAAGGACTGAGGACTCCCTCACTTGAATCTGTTCCCTGCTGTTGACACAGCCTTCTAATGCCTGCCTGCCTGGCCACCTGTTCACCTATCTGAATTGCCTGTTTCCTGCTTCTGACCTGTTTCCTGCTCTGGACCCACTTTGGCAGCTGAATTCTGCAGTTTTTCTCTGAAACTTGACTTACACCAGCAGCTCTCTCTTGGCATTGGTCTGCTTCATTATCATTATCAACACAAGCTCTCAGCCCTCTTCTGAAATCTCTTGAACTCTGCTGCAACTTGTTTAACATGCATTCATTCTGTAGCCCATATATATGCTTGAGATATATAGTTATTTTTACTGTGTGATATGAGAGTTAATATTGGTTCCAAAGATTGGAATAAAGAAAGTGCATTCTACTTGGCCAAGCTACCAAGGTAGGCAGACTTTATGACAAATTACTGTTGTTGAAACTATTGTGAATTTATTGTTGTCCAACAAATTCTGACATTGTAGAAAGACACAAATGTGTTCATGTTTCTGGCATAGCACACCCACAACATAGAATTTCTGAAGTAAATGATTCCATCTCAAATGTTACACCTGTTCTTGCTTTGTTCCGTGGTATTCTATCTTTGAAAGTAGGGATGGTTGTAGGGACTTTGATGAACAGTGGTGAAAGGTCAGTGTTAACATTTGTGGTTGGAAAGAGCCTGATTCACTTTTCAAGGCTCATAGCTTGGCTCTGAGGAACTATCTCCTTTCTAAAAATATTTTATGTGTATGCGTGTATTGCCTGTGTGTAGGTAAGTGCACCTGTGTCGTGGAATGCCCGCGGAGATCAGAGGAAGGCGTCGGATCCCCTGCAACTGGAGTTATGGACAGTTGTTAGCTGCCATGTGGGGAAACACTTTTACTGGATGAGTCATCTCACTGGCCCCTGTTTCAGTCTTTACCAGAAATCACTTTCGGTTTCTAAGATCAAAGGCATGCACCACTACACCCGACTGCTCCCTGGTATTAGAATAGCGAGTTCTTTGCCAACATTCAGGTCTCAAGCTTCAAAATCATTTCCTCAGCCCTGCCCTTCCAGAATTTGCCTCTCACTCTCTTGTTATCTTGTTCTATTAACGAATTTCCCACTATTTTTTAAATTTGTTGTTTGTCCTATGTTCTTCAACATAAGCTTCATGAATACAGGGACCTTATTTGTATTTTCCAAGACTAAAACAGTGGCTGGTGCATATTAGGCATTCAACACATTTGCTGACTGTGGATCAAAGAACTGCAGGCTCCTTGGACTTCAAAGCTCAGAGAATGATTTGTCTGGGTGGTGGTTTATTCAGGCACTAGTGCCTCGAGTTTTTGGATATTCTTTTTTTTTTCTTTTCCGGTCTTGAGACAGGGTCTTCCTATAGCCCCAGCTGGCCTGGAACTAGCTATGTAGACTAGCCTGGCCTTGACCTCACAGAGATACGCCTGCCTCTGCCTCCAGAGTGCTGGGACCAAAAGGTGAGCATCACCACCCGGGTTGAGTGGACATTCTTAAGGCTTTGCCTGTTTCAGGAAATAGGCAAAGGTTTCGAGCTCTGAAATTACACAATGTTACTTCCTTGCCACCTTTCGCCAGAATCTCCAGATGTAGCACAGGGTAATGGAACACGGAGCGCACACAGGGCAGTGTTAGCACCCAACCCGTTAAGGGTGAGTAACGCGCGCCCCCCCCCCCTCCCCGGACAATTCCGGGGTTTTAGAAATGCGTACAGTACGAGGCTATCTTTGAGTTTTTCAGCCTTTCAAACCACAGCAGCTTCCCACTGAGAGAACCTTCCTGAACGTTCCGCCCCGGAAACCCAGACACAACAGGACAGTGGCGTCTGGGCCCAGGCCCCGCCCACACGGCCACGCCCCGGCCAGGCCCGGGCCCATAGGCGGAGCCCTAGGAGTCGGGGCCTAGGCGTCCAATTACGGTCGCCTACGTGCCTAGCGGCTGTGACGTCAGAGTGCGCAGGAAGCTGCGCCGGCGCTGCGGCGTTGCTGTCAGTCCATCCTCTGGCTGTTCCCTAGCGTCCGCATTTGCACAGCGGGTCCGGAAACCCGCAGCCGCGGTCTTCGTCCCGCGCCGTTTTCACCCCGCGCCATGGCGGTGGTCGTGGCACGCCGTCCCGCAGCCGCGCGGCGCGGCCCGCTGCTCCCCCTGCTGTCATTCCTGCTGGTGGCCGGCCCTGCGTTGTGCTGGAACGACCCTGGTGAGCGCTGTCCCCGGCCCGCGCCGCTGCCCAGCCCCGCGTCGCTCCGGAGCCTCTTGGCTCAGCTTCCACCTCTGTCCTCTGCTTTTTGTACCCTGCGCTTTGCTCTCCAGCGAGGGAGGCGGGCAGTGGGCAGCGAGGCGCGATTCTGCTCTTAAAGTCCCCTGTTCCCGGCCCTGCACGCCCCAGTTTTGTCCCCTTGCTGTGGCTACTGGCTGCATCCCCGAAGCTGCAGACGAGCTTGACGTTCAACTGCGCATCTCTTGTTATCATGGCTGTTGGATGTCATCATCGCTCACTGTTGTCATGGCTGCCTGTTGCTAGGGCTCGTAGTTGCCATGCCACTAGCGGTCTGTGAGTCACGCTCAGGGGACTGGGCCGCATTGCGGTGCAGTACTGAGCTTTCCTCGTTTTTTCAGCTTACACCGGAATTAAAAAAATTTTTTTCTAATTTTTTTTTAGGTGTTGATACTATGAGAGTTGATTTCTAGGGAGGGGACTCTATGTAAATATAAAAATGTGAAAAGAGACTTTATCCATTAAAATGACATTTTTGGTTTTTAAAGCAAAGATATTATGCATGAAAAAAATATAACAGTGTTGAATCTCGATTGATTGAACATGCATGACTTTAATTTAGGCAACAGGTTTATTTTTGTAAGATCCTCTCTGGGCAGTAGGGTTGGTAGGAACTTCACTTTGATTAACATTTCGTTTGCTATAGACCTTGTTATCAATAGTTAATAAGCCGAGGTGGGTATAACTGCCTGAACACTTTCCGTAAGTATTCCTAGACAGTTGTATGAAAATGAGAGACTTGATCAGAATTCATTTAAAAACTGAGCAAGTTTAGAGATGAAGACTCAAGGGAATTTTGAGAAGAAAAACAACCACATTTAAATGAATGGTGAACCACTTCCTGGTGGTTCTTATATTACCTTTGCTGTAAAAATTATTGTTCTGGAACAAAAATCACCGAACTATTTTACAGAGATACCACCACTTCATTTTAGTTTACTTTGAGGAACTGTTTTACAAAGGTCCTCTAAGGGACTGTCAATTATTAAGACTTGGTAAAGCAACCCTCTAATTTATAATTGTTTACTTTGTCTTTAGTTAATGTACAGCAGTGATATGTCTGGAAAAAGAAGCACCTTTCTAAGATTACTTAAGACTTTAAAAAAATTTTCTGAAATATTGTCTTTAAGGTACCCCTTTAGTGCCAAGAGGAGCTCTGAAGAAAACAGTGTCTTGTCCTAAGGAGTAAGCATTTGCTGAGTAGACAGTAAACATGTAAACAGCATCCCATTTGTAACACGGGTGTGATCAAACAAGGAGGACAGTGTGTACTGGCAGAGGAGGGGACTTAAGAAATACATCAAGGGGGCATTTATCAGATACCTGAGGGGAGGGGAGGACTAAATGACTTGATACAATTTAAACTTTTTTTTTTTGGTCTTTTTGAGATAGCGTCTCCCTGTAGCCCCAGCTGTCCTGGATTCACTGTGGAGACTAGGCCGGCCTCAAATTCACAGAGATCGGCCTGCCTCTGCCTCCTGAGTGCTGGGATTAAAGGCGTGCACTACCACCCCGGCACAATTTAAACTTTTAAAAGTTTGTGTGGGCTGTCTTTTAGAAAACAGGTGGGAGGGAAGCAGAAGCCTAGTGAAATGGTGGCTTCTAGAGTAGGCTCTGAGAATGATGACCACTATAGATCAGGTGTGGAGTGGAGCTGGTGGAGGCTTGGATTGTCTTCCCACCTGTTTTGAAGACGGTGCTGGTGTGATGTTCTGGTAGATTCAAAGTAAGGGTGAGATGGTGAGTGAGGATAAGGATGATTCTAAATGTTCAAGCTTGAGTAATTAGCATCCTGAGATACTGGTAAGTACTGGAGAATTGAGTTCTGGGGCTTTTGGTTTCATTTATCTGAAGTTTGAGATCTGAAAAAGGATTTTGGAATATGAGACCAGAGTTCAGGGAATCTCTGTCCTGTGACTGATGTAACAAGTGGACATGGGGGAGGGATATGAGATGAACTTTCTGTTCTTAGATCTGAAGGCCCTCTAGAGAAGAAGGGCATTGTGGGGTTGGTCATGATCCTCCTGTGCTGATAATTCTTGAATTCGCTATGCTGTTTCTCATGTCTGATCACCTACTATGCATCAAGTATTCTGCCGGCTAATTTTAGGAAGTTACATCCAAGGTTTACAACAGATTTCAAGATTAATACCTTAATTTTATAGGTGAGGAAACTTCTGAGCAGATAAATTTATTGCCTTGGTTAAAGTTGTATAGTGTAAGTAAGTGATGCTAGTTCAGTGTTCTTTGCGTTATCTAGCCCCTTCTGGTAAATTTAGATTGTTGGATTCTCTTATTTTCATAGATTGAATGATTTGGTCAACTATTTAAGTACAGCATAATTTTTTATAATTGAAGAAAAAACAGTATTTCAGAAGTTGACATAAGGTAACATTAGTGGTCCTGAATACACTGCTTTAATTTTAGAGTTTTTATAGTTGTATGAAGATGATGAACGAAGTTTTGCAATGTAAAATATTAGCTAAAGCTGTTTTGGGGTCAGCGAGATGACTTAGTGGGTAAAAGCACTTGCTGCCAAGCCTGGTGACCTGAGTTCTGATTCCTGGCACCCACATGGTAGGAGAGGGAGGACCAGCCAACTCCCACAAGTTTTCCTCTGACCTCCACATTTGTGCTGTGGCATGCAGGTGCCACAAAACCGTGTGTTTGCTTTTTGGAGACAGGGTCTCATGTAGCCTAGGTTGGCCTCAAACTCACTGTGTAATTGAGGCTGGTCTTGAACTCCTGATCCTCTTGGCTCTGCCTTCCAAGTGCTGGGATTTCAGGTGTGCACCACCACACCTGGAGAAGATTATGTAATACTTCAATAACCTATATAGAAAGGATAATGAAACTGTAAGTCAGGTCCAATCCCTGCAGAAGCAATTTCTGCATGTGTATATTTGTCTGTGAGGACACAGATCAGCTGCTATTTAGATTTACATGTTCACCTTGTCCAGCAGAGTTAGCTTTCTAACATTATCTTGGAGCCACTGAGATGCTGTAGCCTCTTCCTTTTTTCATGTTGTTGAAGTTTTGAAAAACACCACAAACCCAGCTGTTCCCCAGAGGAGGTCAGTGATGAAAGATAATCTCATGGCTAGCTAGCTCTTGCCCATTTCTAAGATATAAACCATCTTGCCTCTCTTCCCCATCTCAGAGCAACCCTTAATCATTTACCTTGCTGGTTAGTCTTTTACTTTTGATTGCCAAGGATTAATTCTGTTTTCTGAGTCAGTATCTGATTATTTAGCCCAGGCTGACCTCCAACTTATGATCTTGCCTCAGCCCATAGTTCTGAAGTATGTCCAGCTAGGGGTTACATGCTGTTGGACAGATGTCCCCCCTGCCCTGCATAATCTATTTTCCCAATACTACTTGCTTACTAATTTGTTTCTGTTCCCCCTTTGAACTGAAATTCCTCATAGTCAACTCAATTCTGTTTGAGTACTTGATTCAATTTCATTGATCAGTTTTGCTATTTGTGTCAATTATTGTACTGTTTACGTTACTGTAGATTTAGCTGTGTTTTGGTAGACATACCCTACATGTTGTTATTGCTACTTTCAGATAGCTTTAGCAGTTTTTCTACATTTATTCTTTATTTTATTTTATTATGTATATGAGTATTGCCTGAATGTGTGTAAGTGTACCTGTGTCATGCAGTGCCGGTGGAGGTCAGAAGAGGGCATCAGATCCTCTGGAACTGGAGTTAAGAACAGCTGTTAGCTGCCATATGGGTGTTGAGAATGAACCTGAGTCCTCTGCAGGAGCAATCAGTGCTCTTAACCACTGAGCCATATCTCCAGTTCTCTACATTTATTCTTGGATTTAAATTTTTAAATCAATTTGTTATGATTCAAGGAAGTATCTGGTATTTTGATTGTATATGTTGATTTGGAGAAAACTGGCATTTTAGTGTGATACTTTGATTTGTGTGTATTATACAATTTTCCTTTGATTCACACTATTTCATTTTGTGTAAATTTAGAAATTTTTTATTTTTTATGTGTATGAGTGTTTTGCCTGCATTTAAGTAAGTGTATCTGTGTCAGTGCAGTGCCGGAGGAAGCCAGAAGAAGGTGTTGGATTCCCTGGAACTGGAGTTACAGATGGTTTTTAACCACCTTGTGGGTCCTGGGAACTGAACCTGGGTCCTCTGCAAGAGCAGCCAGTGCTTTTAATCACTGAGTCATCTCTCCAGCCCCACATTTTGTGTCACTTTTATAAAAGTTTTGCTAATTTATTTGAGAAAAAGCCATTTTGGGGTTTTACTTTCCTATGTTTTAAAATTATGACTTGATTTATTTTGACTTATTTTTCTAACTTATTTCCAATCGTCTCTCCTTCTCCAGGGCCTTTCTTGTGGTAAATAAGTATGCATTTTTCTACCCCAACCCCCTTTTTTAAAAAAATTTCTTTTTA